CGTTTTAAGCCGGGATGTCGACCCTCCGTGTATCCGCCATCTCGGCTCCTCCCAAAGTGCGGGATACAGGTCTGAGCCACCCGCGTCCCGGCCTCTCGGCCTCCCAAAGTGCTGGGATTACAGGCTTGAGCCACCGCGCCCGGCCCTATCCAGTAATTTTTAAACATACAATTTTGCATTGAGGACTTTCATTTAAAAAACAAAACAACAACAAAAAAATCACTGTGCAATTAAAACCTAAATAAAAACGACTGTTTTCTTTTAAAATAAAAATGTCTTTTTTTATTCAAGAGGGAAATAAAGTCGGGTGTGGGGGCTCACGTCTGTAATCCCAGCACTTTGGGAGGCTGAGGAGGGCAGATCATGAGGTCAGGAGTTCGAGACCTGCCTGGCCAACATGGTGAAATCCCATCTCTACTAAAAATACAAAAATCAGCTGGGCCTGGTTGCGGGCACCTGTAATCCCAGCTACTCGGGAGGCTGAGACAGGAGAATCGCTTGAACCCGGGAGGTGAAGGTTGCAGTGACCTGAGATCAAGCCACTGCACTCCAACCTGGGCGACACAGTGAGACTCCATTAAAAAAAAAAAAAAGAGATGGAAATAAAAGTGAACTAACTGGGGAAAAAAGTTTTGTAATTCAAAATCATTTGTGTCTCTTCCAAGTCTCACTATTCTGTGCCCCTCTCTTCATGTTCTGACACTCCCTCCACACTCTTCTCCACTTACCTCTTCTTCCACAAGGTACACATGCACAGACAGTGGGTGTGTGTCTTCTAAATCAGGATCTTGCCTGACCCTATGCTCAGGCCCTCAGTCTCTCTCCATCAGCTTTACCCAAAGAACCAGACCAAAGGTGACAAGTCTTATTTGTGGTGTGTGTTCTATAGTGTGTAAAATGCAAGGGCGATTCTGGGTGTACAAGGGAAGGCCAAGTAGGCCATTAGCTACTTCCCCCCACAAATACTGCACACTGCCAGGCATGGCAATAACCAGGTACTGGGAATACAGACATCAGCTGGGTAGACTCCTCCCTTCCCTCAGCCATCCCGGGTCATTATTTTAAGTGATGATTACAAAGTTGTCAAATCACTCCTTCACTAATATGGCAAAAGTGTATCTCTGCATTATAAGAATGAGACAAAATTATTCTTGAGATATTTTTGTTTTCTTTTTGAGCAGGGCATCTCACTGTGTTGCCCAGACTGGTCTTGAACTCCTGGGCTCAGGCAGTCTACCGTCTCAGCCACCCAGATAGCTGGGATTACAGGTACTCTCAGGTTTAACAGAAGGCTGAGAAAGGTTTTCTGTCAGGAAATCAAGGAAGGACGTGCGTTTCCTCCTCCTCTTGACAGGTGAACATTTATTCTATTTCTTTGCACTGGGATCATTCAAATAGAGCAACACTGAGCAAGCCTGAGCACCCACTGAGCACAGTGTGATGAGTTGGGGCTAACTTTTAACACTAACTACAGGTCCTGGGACTTTTATGCAGGCCCTTTGAAGTAGGGGTCGCCTGTCCTCTGTGACTTGATCAAAGGTACACAGGTGTGGCACGGTAGGGAGGCAGACAATGGAGGGGACAGGATTCGAACCAGCCCTCCTGAAGGCCGAAGGCCGAGTCCTGGACAAGGCATTCCAATGAGGTGGGGGCGGGGAGTTCGGCCCCCCGCTGCGGCTCGGGCTGCCCCGCAGTCCTGAGTCACAAAGGTGGTTGCCAGGCGCCACGAACAGCGGCCGCCGCTTTGGAGCGTGCGACCCTCAGGGTTCAGCAGGTGAGCCCTGGGCCCGGATGGTGGGACTGGGCCCAGGTTCCCACCGCATCGTCCTCCTCAGCCAGAACCTTCTGGTCCCCGTCCCCGGATAGAGACCCAGGAGGCCCAAGCCCTTTCTTCCGGCTTGGAGTGGGAGCCTCTCCACTCTCGGCAGCTCCAGACCCTTCGCATCTCCATTTACAGTTCACGACCTCAGCTGCATTTTGGCGCTAACGCCCCGTTTCCCAGGTGGGGAAATCCTTGGATCGGGAAGTGGGGTGTGAAGGGGAAACCTTTTTGACCAGGAGAACCAGGTGTTCCCTATCTGGGAGCTACTGAGCAGCTTGAGCAGACTTCGTAGGTTCAAGCCCTTCTGGAGTGGTTGACAGTGACTTCTGGGCAGTGGGGATGGGATGAACCATCTTTAAACTTTGCGCGAAGTGTTGCGGGGACCTAGGTTTAGAAGCCCCTCATCCCACGTTGGTTCTGCCGAATATTTAGGCTGACTCCTGACCTCAAGTGATTGGCCCACCTTGGCCTCCGAAAGTGCTGTGATTGCAGGCCTGAGCCACCGCGCCCTGACTTAGGCTGGACATTTGACAAAGCCTTTTACTTCTACCTCTATTTCCTCTTAGAAGATGTGGCAAAAAAAAGGATCCTGGGGGCAGAGTCCGGTGGCTCACGCCTATAATCCCAGCACTTTGGGAGGCTGAGGCGGGTGGATCACGAGGTCAGGAGACTGAGACCATTCTGACTAATACGGTGAGACCCCGTCTCTACTAAAAACACAAAAAAATTAGCCGGGCGTGGTGGCAGGCGCCTGTAGTCCCAGCTACTCGGGAGGCTGAGGCAGGAGAATGGCATGAACCTGGGAGGCAGAGCTTGCAGTGAGCCGAGATCCCGCCACCGCACCCCAGCCTGGGCAACAGAGCCAGACTCCATGTCAAAAAAAAAAAAAAAAAAGAAAAGAAAAGAAAGAGAAAAGGATCCTGGGATTAAGTACTTTTTAAAATCCCATATTATGGGATTAAAAATATGCTTGGCAGCATTTATACTCTCTGCCCACCTTGTCATGGTGGTGTACCACGGTAGTCCCTCTCTTGGATATGTGCTCTGAAGGTCAAGATATCAAGCACCAGAAGCCTTTCACAGGGTGTTTGTAATAGATAACTGTCCCTTGGGTGTCCCTTTCTCATTCTAAGGCAGCCCAGATATTTGAACATTTAGTACTTTGCAAAGAGCCTACATAGATCATGAGAAACATACTAGTTGCAGAAAATCAACAAATCCTCCATACTAACCATTATCAGGGGCAGGTCTTCTGGTCTGAAATGTCACCAACCTTTTTTTTTTTTTTTTTAATTGAGATGGAGTCTCCCTCTGTCACCCAAGCTGGAGTTGAATGGCTTGATCCCAGCTCACTGGAACCTCCATTCAAGTGATTCTCCTGCCTCAGCCTCATGAGTACCCGGGATTACAGGTGCCCACCACCACGCCTGGCTAATTTTTGTATTTTTAGTAGAGACGGGGTTTCACCCTGTTGGCCAGGCTGGTCTTGAACTCCTGACCTCAAGTGATCCACCCGCCTCGGCCTCCCAAAGTGCTGGGATTACAGGTGTGAGCCACTGTGCCTGGCCAACAGTTCTTTTTTTAAAATCAACTTTTCTATCTCACAGATGGTGGTGAAGATGTCAAAATTTTCACAGTATTTCTGGGGCAATTACTGGATAGGATGGGATCTGCTGCTATCTTCTGTGGGAGAAGGGGCAGAGAAATACACTTGGCTAGAAAGAAAAGGGACCCACTATGCCCACTAACAAAATAGGTACACGCTAAAAAAAGAATTAGCTTCTGAATTCAGTAAACCTTCTTGTATACTGGCAATGTTGAAGGAGAATGATAGAAAATTCTAATTTTACTTGCATAAATTTTGAGTTAGCAATATCCTCACAGCCCTTTTTAATCTTCAAAGGAAAAAGAAAATTAAGGTCTTATGGAACCAGTAGGTCTTCCACAGATGGAAAACAAACAAAACAGAAAAACAAATTTAAAAACACACCCACACATAGAAAAACAAAAATCTTTAACAATATTTTGACTGGACTTTGGAAATGTTTCTCCTCCCAGTCTCCTACCAGCTCCTCTGAGGTGGTATATAAATAACCCAAGGGTCTGCAAGTTGCTCCCGTGTGCAGAGAAAATACAGTGGCCTTTGGGGCCAGGAGATGATCTCAGTAACGAATAGTGAAAGTTAGAGTTGTTTGAAAGGAATAGCATAAGAAATTCTCAAAATAGACAATGCAAGAGAGCTTGTATAAATGCAGATTGCTGGGCCCCACTTGGAGTTTGTTTCTGTTGGTCTGAGGTGGGGCCCAAAAATGTGCACATCTACAAGTTTCCAAATGATGCTGAAGTTCATACTTGCAAGTTCATACATTGTACAGAGTTCATACATTGCGAACCGCACAATTTTTTTTTTTTGAGACAGAGTCTTGCTCTTTCACCCAGGCTGGAGTGCAGTGGTGCAATCTTGACTCACTGCAACCTCTGCCTCCTGGGTTAAAGCGGTTTTCACGCCTCAGCCTCCCCACGTAGCTGGGACTACAGGTGTACGCCACCACGCCCGGCTAATTTTTGTATTTTTAGTAGAGACAAGGTTTCACCATGTTGGCCAGGCTAGTCTGGAACTCTGATCTCAAGTGATCCGCCTGCCTCAGCCTTCCGAAGTGCTGGGATTGTAGGCATGAGCCACTGTGTCCAGCCATAAATATTTTTAAGATATGACTTTTCTGAGCTTCTTCTAATCTCAAGTAATAAGGTCTCATCATGAATTCTTAGCAGCTTCTGTCACCTCAGAACATATAGATTCTGTCATTAGCAGCTAACAACATAGCGTAGGTCCTAACAGTGGACCTATATTCATTTCATTTCAGACAAATCATTTCCTCATCTATAAAATGGGTTAAGACCTACTTCCAAAGGCTTGTGAAAAAGTGTAACAAAGTTTTAGTACACATAGCAGTTGCCAGATCAATATTTGTAATCATTCCCTACTTCCCTTCATTAGAATTACTAATACCCACGCTGGGCGCAGTGAGTCACACCTGTAATCCCAGCACTTTGGGAGGCCAAGGCAGAAGTTGGAGACCAGCCTGGCCAACTTGGCAAAACTCTGTCACTACTAAAAATACAGTGAGCCAAGATTGCTCCACTGCACTCCAGCCTGAGTGACAGAGCGAGACTGTCTCAAAAAAGAAAAAAAGAAAGAAAAAAAAGAATTACTAATATCCTAACACCTGTTGGAATCTATTCATGGGAACTATAGAATAAGTTTATGTCAATAGTGAGACAGAGATGGGAATTTGAAAGTCCATACCATCATGAAAAGCATATCAGGGAAATTCCATGCTCTGATTTCCCTCCTTTAGGACTGTCAATGGCAGGATACCAGCTCTGGTCACCATGGACCCCACTGGATGAGAGTTTCCAATGGCTGCGGCACACGACACCTATACCTTCCTCCAAGCACCCCTTCAGGGCCTCTCCCTGCTTCCCACACACACCATCTGACCTTGAAGTGCAGCTGTGCTTTCAAGAGGTCACTCTAGTCCTAGACAGCCCATTCCTGGAATCTGGAGTGAGTCCCAAGTTACCCTGTCACACATCAGAATTGCGAACAATGAACAACAAAGGACTGGTCAGGAAGCCCCAGCCCATCCGCCTCAGTGGAGTAGATTCTGTCTTTGGCAGGGTTATCACAGCTCAGCCACCAAAATGGACCGGGACTTTCAGAGTTTCAGACAAGTCAGCCTTTTGCAAAATCATTAGCAGGGAGCACCAGTGGCCCATTGGACTGAAGGAGCCTCAGATTCAGATGACAGTGACTATGTGCAAACAGATGCTGCGCTCTATCCTCTTGCTGTATGCAACTTACAAAAAGTGCACCTTTGCCTTGCAGCACTCCAAGTAAAGGGTCCTCATTTGATCCCCATTTCTTCACACCATGCCCTTTGGTATGTAACTGAAGCTTACAGAAACCTGTCCATGTAAATGAAACTGTGTCATTGCCCCAGCCATCTTGCTTTTGTTTCAAGCAGTGATGATTCAGGAGCCCCTTTCATCCCTTCCCCTCCAAAAAAGGACCAATGATAGAGAACAAGGAAGAACATTCCCATTGTAAGGTTGAACCATTTAGAGTCAAACTAGCATTGACATGTACATGTGCTAACCATTAAACAAATGATATAAACCAATAAGCCTAGTGTGAACTCACATAAACACCTAAGATCACAATGAATTGGGGGAAAAAGGGGTGTAGAGGAGAAAGATATGGATTTCTATGTACCAGGGGATGTCAAAAATCTATATATAGGTCAAGGATTAGTTTAAAACCTCCCCCAACCAAAACAATGAAAATAAGAAAAAAACCCTAACTAACCACACCCTAATACCACCGGAGTGTACAAAAGTGGGTAGAAATATACTGATATTAAACAATACGTACAGCCTGGCAAGAAAGATCTTGGTAGCACTGAACGAAGCTAGGCTTTCTGGTAGGCTACATGGAACTCATGACTCTCTATTTTAGCTGAAATGTACTCCTAATGTTCTATTTCTAATAAACTACAAGTAATTTTGTAGCATTTTTTTGTTTTTTTCTGTCATCCCAGCTGGACTACAATAGCATGGTCTTGGCTCACTGCAGCCTCAAACTCCCAGGCTCAAGGGATCCTCCCGCCTCAGCCTCCTGAGTAGCTGGGACTACAGGTGTGGGCCACCATATCTGGCTAATTTTTTTTTTTTTGAGATGGAGTTTTGCTCTTGTTGCCCAGGCTGGAGTGCAATGGCACGATCTCAGCTCACTGCAACCTCTGCCTCCCAGGTTCAAGCGATTCTCTTGCCTCAGCCTTCCTAGTAGCTGGGATTACAGGCATGTGCCATCATGCCCAGCTACTTTTGTATTTTTAGTAGAGACGGAGTTTCTCCAGGCTGGTCAGGCTGGTCTTGAACTCCTGATCTCAGGTGATCTGCCCGCTTTGGCCTCCCAAAGTGCTGGGATTACAGGCATGAGTCACTAATTTTTTTTTTTTTTTTTTTTTAGTAGAGATGGAGTTTTGCCACGTTGCCCAAGCTGGTCTCAAACTCCTGGGCTCAAGCAATCCCCTGGCCTCAGCCTCCAAAAGTGTTGGGATTACAGGCATGAACCACCGCGCCTGGCCTTTGTAGCATTCTTATAACTAGGTTGGCCAGGCGCAGTGGCTCAAGCCTGTAATCCCAGCACTTTGGGAGGTCGAGACGGGCGGATCACAAGGTCAGGAGATCGAGACCATCCTGGTTAACACAGTGAAACCCCGTCTCTACTAAAAAATGCAAAAAAACTAGCCGG